CTGCTCTCTGTGTTGTTACTTCTAAGAGGCTGAAGGACATGAACAAAGTAGGTCAAAGAAACCTGAATGACTTAGGGAGACTGACAAATTTGTGAAAATCATCCTCTCTGAACTGTTCAGAACTAGATTGTTCTGAATGAAAGATATAGCAAGAAAATATACCTTTCTACCACATCTCTCTGACAAGAAGGGCAGTCAGAAGACTCCAGGGTGAAAGAAAGTCAAGACATTAAACTGACTAGAAACTCCAATGGAGGCTAGAAGCAGAAATCACAGCTCTGCATTTTGTAGTAGAAACACCTTCAGTATTCTTGACTGTTTAGCTAGAAGGTCTTACTTTCAGCTTTAAAGTATCCCATATATCTTTCTGAACTCTGTCAGGATCCTTTGGGAAAATACTTATGTGATATTTTGGGTTTTAAAATCAAATACTTCCTATGCAGCTGTATCTGGGACCTGAAATCAAATCACATTGACCTTTCTTTAAAAAGGGACAGAAAAGTTATTTAATATGTTAGGGGATAAAAAAGGGAAGGGGGTAGGCACTCCCCTGTTCAACTACCACTGGTGTCAGAGAAAATGACAAGACTCAGAGATATCCTCATTCTCTGCTCTGGTTCAATTTGCTGAGAATAATTACATTCTCTTCCCTAGAGTAATTTTGGAGGCAAATGGAAGAAAGGTAACTCTTCTTCAAAAAACCTGAAACATTTAGAGTCTTGATGATACAAATGTCATTGAGAAAGCTTTCTACCATTTTGCTCCTTCTCCACAAAGCAGAACATTTTCAAGTTGAAAATGCAGGAATTTTTTAGGAATGCCAACATACTTGAGCTACAAGTCACCCACAGCTTTTGGGACACATTACCTGGGCTCAACTTTACACTCCACAATACATGCAACTTGGTCTTTTTTAGAAGCACAGTAACTTTTTTTAATGACAACTGATTCACATTCCCCCCTGCCCCGCTTAATTCATTGCCCTCTAGTAGTAAACTTGTGGCATATGAGCTGTAAATGGAGTAATTAAAAATCAAAACAAAAAAACAACCAACTAAAAAAACCTACCACAGCCACACATACTTTACCACAAATACGCTAAGCATAAGGCAAATTCAGTTTCTAGATCTGTTATCAAGTAATATTTCACAAAGTCAAGAGATGAAAGTTTGTCTCAAAAAGAAAAAAAAAGAAGGAACAGATGCAGCTCACAGTCTGGCACAGTGTACAGCACATGACAAAGTTTGGAGAGAAAAGCTAGTAGCTCCCTTTTTACCTCACAGAGACAAAATGCACAAATAGCTATAATCCCCTCCCCATTTTGGGGCCAATAAAGCAACTGTTAATGCATATGGTATTATAAAACGTTTAACAGTAAAATGTACCCATTTGGCTTTCCTAGAAATCTTAATTTTTGTACTTGGTGCCAAATCATCTATGTAATTTCTCAGTTCGTTCATGTTAAAAGATGCTTCCTACCTTCTGGAATATCACTCTGCTGCTGTGATTGAATAAATTTAATTCTCTCCCTCCCCACCTCCAACTAACATGAAACAGATAGGAAATACATTATGCTAGAAATCCTCAAAGAATTATTTTCTCCTTCAAATACCAATCACTGATCGCAATTCGTGCAACATATCAACTGGACTCTGGTCTGAGGAAAAAATCACAGTTAGACCTATTGGGAGTCCACTACAGGTAGTGAGAATTTAACTGGGTTTTTGTGGTTGGGTTTTGTTGCGGTTTTTTGCCAGAACAGATGTAATACATGATGTTGGAAGAACTGACTATTTCTAAGTACCTTTCTGGTACCTTTGTTAGCTGCCTTTCAAGACAGTCCTTTAAAAGGTACAGCTTCTACATCTAAGTCTAGTGCCACACACCGGCAGACATAAGATCAACACTGAGGAGATAGTGTCCTTGCACGTAAGCAAAATAATCTGCAATTCAAAGTTCAGAGGCTTATCCAGTTTTCTGATGTTTGTTTCCCCCAGCTTTAAGATTTTGCTTTAAGTGATGATTGTGAGCTCTCTGGAATCTGGCTCTTATGTATGCATGTTATCACGATAGATCACTGAGGTGGCATGGACTGCTTGGCACACCTATAGTGAGAAGTAATCAGTGTGCACCCCAAAAAAAATGATTAATTCAGCTTCAAAGATCGAGCACTGCAGAAGGAACACGTGGGAGCTCATTTTCCAGGTTATGTCTTTTACCGCTCATGGTTGTTTTCTTCCTCATTCTTCCCAACATAACCAGTTACTTACATTCATGCAACAGAAAACTCTTCTGACAACCCATCCAGTGCAGAGTTGTGTATAAATAAAAATTCAATTGTTTTAGTATTTGAACTCAGTAAATTCACATACAGGAGAGAAGCTGTATGCAAAAGGAACACATTCTTCAATCACAGCCAGCCAATCAAGCTAGTGTAACACAAATGAAAATCCCCACTGAGTTACAGGCTGAAGAGCTATTTAGAACTACAATGTGGCCATCTACTCCTACCTTTGCTACAACACAGCCAGATAAGGTATTATTCTGTACCTTTAAAAGACCCTCCTATTGTGTTAAGTTAATTCAACTGAGCTTTAGCAAGTGTGAGAGAGGAATCACAGACTTCTGCCCATCCTGACAAAACACAATGCTTTCTGCCATGAGCAGTCCCAAAGAAATCACGCAGCATGCCAGGTACAAAGTATTTGCAGAAGTGAGCCCTCAGACAGGGCTATAAAAGCGCTGGGTTAAGGAAGCACACGCCAACTTGCTTCTGCTTGATCTGTTACACAGCTTGACAGTAACAGATAGCCAGTTGCATTAGTGTCAATGTTCAGATAAGTTTCTCTCAATATCTGTCACAAAAACCAGACACGGTATCAGTGTGCCAGCTGTATTATCGGTCGCTACATAGCTGATCATACTTAATAACATCCTCGGGCACAGACACGGCTAACAAGTATCACAGACGGCAATTACTATTGCGCACCACAGTCATCCAGATCTTTCTGACGGAGCTGGCAACGGCACGCACTCAGCGAGTGCCTGCCTCCCACTTTTTCCCTCTGAAATATGTTAACTTGCCTCAATATGGAGCCAGAGTTTGTTTTGAAACTCTTAACAGGATCACTGAAAGAAAAGAGGAAAAATACCACAAATGATCCTCTGGACTATTTCCAGAGTCATGTACTCTCTTAGCGATTGCTTTGGAAGCAAGCCAAAAATGGGAAGTGTTCTTGCAAATGAGTATGCTACTATACTCAAGTTATCATTTAATTCTTTTGTCAACATCAGCACATTGAGAAATTAAGAAGCGTGTTTAATAAACAGGTTACTTGAATACCAGTTACCAAACACCAATTTCTTCTTTATCCGTCCCCCACACACACACTCAGCTCCTGCCCCTCATCCACTTCCCAACAAACACTGCTTTCTTTTTTAGACACTTTCTCTCCTTTATTGAAAGTCAAATAAAATTAATATAGTAATTACATCAACCATAACTATGTCTGTAATCAAGAGCAAGTTAACTAAGAAAAGGAAAAAAGTTGGTCATTTCAAAAATACATTCAAAAGAGGCTTCTACAGGGCACGGCACTTAATATTTTTAACAGAGATTTAATACAGTCTATTGAATAGTTTTGTGGGGGCAGTTTTTCACATTATGATTACTCCTAATGAGATCACCCTCCACAGTGTGTAAGCCCTTATCCCTTCCCAACAGAACAATGAGATATTTGTGCAAGGCTACACAGGCCTCAGGTCAACTCCAATCACTTCACCTTGTACCAAATTTCCCCATCAAGAACACAATCGTGTTTTTTCCTGATGATAAATTATTAATAATGAGATAGGCCTACTTTTTTTTTTTAGGATGCTTGTAATCCTCTGTAGAGGATTTTGAAATCCTCACACAGACATCTCACACTCGGTGACTCCTGCCAGCTTTGGTTTTGAGATTCTGTAGGTTTCTCCTCTTCACAGATTTGTGGGGTTTTTTTCCTAGCTTTTGACTTACATTTCTCACCAACAAATGTCTACCTATCTTATGAAAAACATGGTGATATATAACTTCTTGTGTTATCTTATGATAAAAATTATAGACTTGTGTTAAGTGTACATGAAAATACCTGTCTTCAAACAGTCTGTTCTCTTGATTTTACTGTAAGACAATGAAATATCCTGTTTCATATGAAGCAGAAATGTCTTACGCTTGTAGCTGCAGTGACAGCAGCACTAAGGATTATTCTAAGGATATGGGTAACTATATCATTCTGAATTAGGATGCACAGCTCAGTAGTCTGTGATTTGCTAATATTTGAAACTAACCACAGTGATCTCACTGCGAGCCAAAATTTTAGAGTTAGTTTTATGCAAAAAGACATTCTAGAAAGGAAAACATACTTTATTCTGGAAACTTGACAGTCTCTGTGAAAGACCTAAAATTACACTCTGTGCCTGAATTTGAATGCACTTACGACACAAAACTCTTAAAAGTTTTTATTTATTGTGCACTCTTCCTATTATTAAACACATCTTATTCTTCCTCTGATTTAGTTTCCTTATAACTCTGTCACAGATCATGTGAAACAATAAATAGTTTAACTACTCATATCTGAGATTATTAATAGAATGCTCTGTGATAGGTATGACTTGCTCAGCAAGAGGTACAAGGAACATAACTGGTTTAAAATGCTAATACCAAATCTATATTTATACTTCATACAACTTTAAATTTTCTTGTTTAAATTTTAAAATGCAGTACGCAACTGCTGATTTCCATATCCAGAGGAGCTCACTGCTTTGGATTAGCCAGTGAGAAGTTTACAGATTGAGGATCCAAAAACTTTAAAAGCAGACTGCTGAGGTATTTCTCTTGGAAAAAAACAAAACCAAAAAACCCAACAAACACAACCAAAACCAAACCAAAACAAAAAAACCCAAGCTGGTAGAACATGATCTATAATGTACATATTACAGCAAGCTGTATGTTTACTTACGTTCACACGTGTCTCCTTTTTGCTGGTATCCTGCTTTGCAGATACATTTTCCAATAGGCACTAACCATTCCCCCTCTGCGCTGCAGTGCATCTTCGGCGAGTTCTCTGCCTCCTCCTCTGCACTGCTGACACAAGTTCCTCGTACTTCAACTAAAGAGGAAAACTCTGAGCCAGTCACTGTATCAGGAAAAATTGCTAAGTTTTCAATGATGGACCAGCACTTCTTGTAGTAGACTTTGACAGAGACCAAAGCAATGCAGGCCCCTACATCCTGAAATGCAAGATAGAATCCTTTTTTGGACAAAGGTCCAATTTCTCTCACCTCTGTGTTAAGTTTCATTTTTCTCTCCCCAAGATCACCCTGGGTAAAACTTTCATCTGCTGCAATAGTGTCTATTTTTACATATTGGTTTTCTCGGATATTCCTGCCAGTGTCGTAGTCTGTTTCATAATAATACAAGTTAAAAGTTTCTTTACAAGTCCCCAGAACTCCAGGAAGACTGTTACAATCCCTCAGAGTGAATTTCAGTTCTACAAAAATCCTTTGTGCATTGCTTTTTGCAATCCAGTTAGTCCGAAGCCAGTTGTTTTGGTTTGATTCCATCACCTGGCATACCTGGTATGTTCGTATAGGAGTGTAGTTTTCATCCAGTCCACTAATTTCTTCCCACTAAAACAATAACAAACAGTCATTAACACAAAACAAGCATGCCACCAGACATAACTACTGTGTATTCTAAAAGGCTTCACATAACTCAAGTCTCCCTCCTTTTTAACAGTATGGCTTCATAAAAAGTAGATTATTGCTAAAGTACTCTTAAGTACCCAAACGAAGAAAAAGCATATTAATGCAGCTGCAGGCTTGCTCTCTCCCTCCTTTATTTTACATATAAATAACTTCTAAAAATTATTGTCACCTGATGGACACAGTTGTAAAGGGGAAGCTTCAGAGAAAGCTGTTCAGCGCATCAAGTTTTTGATTACACACTGGGCTCTCCCACATCTCATTAAGGTCATGACAGTTTTGGGTAAGTAAAGACCAAAAGGAGGAAGGCAGAGAAACCTAAAATCAGTGAAGTCTTAGAAACTGAAATTGCCTAGTGTTACAGTACATAAAACTTGTGTGCATAAAACTTGCAGTGGAACTTTCAGTTGTACAGAAAATGTGAGACCGGGTCCCGAACCTTATGAGTCAAGACAATTTTCACTCTTATATGATGAAAGAAGGCAAGAGAAAATGGACAGAATTAAAAATCTGAAAGTGAGAAGACATTTTGGTCATCTTATATTTGTTCAGTCCACATTCTATTCTACTTCCAAACCAAAAGAAGGTAAGCGGGAGCTTCTCACCTCACATTTTGTTCAGTGACTGCATCAGTGTTAAAAGGAGCAAACTTCATTTAGTTGGGAGTTCAAATGAACCACGAGATTACATGCATAATTAAAAACAACCCACATGACTCAAAGTTCACTGGTTCAAAGCCTGATTTTTGTTGTTGTTACCTCTTTAGGATATCAACTATGTGACAAACTGGTAAGCCTGTAACAGCCCTGTAGTCTTTAACAGCCTTTGGTGGCGTGGGAATTTGCATCTCCAGTAACAGCAAACCTTCCACTCAAATCAACCAGGTGGATCTGCCCAGGTGTAACCAACACATTATCTGTCTCTCACCTTTATTCACATTTCTTGTAAGATTTAATTCACTGCAGAAACCACAGCTGTAAAAAATTAGAGGGGGAGTTGTGCTACCCTCACTCGATGATATAGGCAACCAAGACTTTCCCTTATGGCACTTAGCCCTCTGGCCCTGTGTCAATAATGCACTTAAGCTCAAGCTTAAGATCAATGACAGTACTGATGAGCTTAATGGTAAGCATGTGCTTAAGTGCTCTGTGGGACGAGCATATTCAGCACCTCTGCAGGATGGAGCACCCGCTGACATTCCTTACACGGGTAACCAAGCATGGAAGGCACTGGTTTCCCAGAAAAGGAGCCATGCAGTATACAGTACTTTGAAAGCCTATTTGACAGCAAATGAGATCATTTTAATGTCAATCTACTGCTTCAAGAAAAAGCAGATGTGGCTGAATTTATGCTGAAAGTTATCGTGATAAAATATGTCATGGCTGCAGATGTTGAAATGCACAGAAGTTGTAATTATCAAAGCACATTTCAAAGACATACAGTTAATATAGACGTGATACATATGGTGTCATATAGACATATGGTATTAAATTACTGAAATAATTATTAAGTGCTCATGGAGTTGACTGAGCTGATTACATATGGAACTGCACTAATCTCAGAAGAAAGTCTATCTTCATAATAGATTCATTAGATCTTTTTTGTCCTCTCTATAAGAGCCAGTATCAACAAGGAAAACTAAAAAAGGGGCCCTAGACTGAGGCTTTTGGCTCTGCCATGTTGAGAAACAAAAACAAACCCAACAAAACAAACAAAAAAGAAAACAAAACAAAACAAAAAAACACACAAAAAACCCCCATGAAGCCTAAAATTTTACTGATGTTATATTCTCCATTTCACATCAGGTAACATTGTTTGTTTGTTTTAATTTTGGGTCGATTTGTAATTTTCATTGTTCTATTTTTTATCTTGTGTAAGCAGTCCTCCCTCAAAACACCAAGCCAGATTCTGCAATGTGATATTCCAGACTTATCGTATCTTTGAAGTGAACACAAGTCTTATGCACCATATAACAGAATCTGACTCTTTGGGTTTTGATGTGGACTGCTCCATCAAAACAAATCCTCACCTCTCTAAAAAAAGAAATTAAAAAAATACAAAACAAAAATAAACAAAAAACCTGATAAAATACATTTAACAAAATCAAACCATTTTTCATAATACAACACAAATGAGCTTTCTTGGAGTCAAAAAACCACTCCATGAGGTTAGCCAGTATTAGACAGATTCTGATGCTACTTTCAAAGACAACAATGCAAAACAGTAAATTTGGATAAGAAGTCCTACTTTAAATTAAACCTAGCATTAAACACCATAGTGTCTTTCTCCAAAAAGCCATGGAATATGGTTCTTTTTTTCCTAAAAAAAATAAGGAAATATGACTTATGATTCAATTCTGTAATCACAGACCTGTTATTTCAAGTAGTACATTGGAGGTGTACCTGCTGCTTTGCAGGAGGGAAAAAAAAAAACAAAACAATCCATAGAATATGTTTTCACCTATGCCATCTGAGGTCACATTTCACTGAAGTCTTTTTGAAGTGATCAATTCCATGATAGCATTTACAGCAAAGAAGTTCAACTTTTCATTGTCCTGCTGCAGCATATGGTGATATACATGCAATCCTACTTGAATGTGTCCTGTTCTATTGGTTTCAATATATAGTATTTCAGCTTCTTAGTTATCTTAATTTTTAGGTGTTAGATGTAACATTTGCAGTTGAATGAGGCATTTAGAATGTGCCTGGTTGATATATTCTGTAATGTGATGATGCAGTAGTTTCCCTCAAGAAGATTTTCTGTGTTTATTCCCATGAAGTCTTTATTACATAGTAGAAAATTCAGTAATTAAAACTAGAAAAACATTTATTTTCAGAATTACATTGCCAAAACAGTGTTTTTATGTTAATATACAGGCAACTATTTCTGAACATTCTAATGCATACAAGTCTGGTCATTAGTTTTGATTCACTTTTTACTCCCAACTGAAATTGGCTTTGGCCGCTACTTCCAAAACTTGCCTCTCACTATTTATTGAACTTGGCTCTACTTTCATCTTTAACCATGCTGACATGTGTAACATGTGTTGACATGTCTTTCATTATCTACAGGTTAGCCTAATATAATTGCCACCAAGGTAATCTTTAAAACATCTCTGGTAAGGGCTTCAATCAGTGCAAAACCCTAATGCCGACGTTATTAGCCATCACACGCGTTGAGCTCACGTTACATTCTTTCTGAAGTCGTTAAATTCGTTTCCAGTTTAAGATTGTATTGATTTTACGATGTTGCTTTTAAAGAAAGACACTTTCAGATTTTCATTCTTCTTATTTAAAGGATTTGTTACACTTTTATACCCCCACTCACACTTCACGCTTTTCTGGCTCCGGATTTCTTAATGCGCTGAAGATTAAGGGCCTGATCCCCAAAGACCTTGTTCATGCAAGGAGTCGCAATGGATTCAGCAAGACAGCTTCCATGAGTAAGAACTGTCCCTATAATTTACAATTTGTCAGGCTGAGTTAAGGTAGAACTGTGATAAGGTAGGACAGTATGTCCATTATATTTTTCTGAAATTGTTCTTCCTCAAGGCTTGAGGAAGAAGGGCTTTTATATTGCTTTTACTTCAGACTGAAAGCAGCATTTCTCAACTTTACGTATATAATAAATAAGACAATAACACTGATGTTTCTAAACTTCTCACTTTTCTATAACGATGTAGTTCACAATGGTACATTTCATGGAGTGCCATGAGATTAATTTGTAAGCAAGTTGGAGGTGGCCTTAACCACATAATTTGTGCCTAGTTCCAGATACCAAGCTCCTCAAGACTTGGGGATGTTTCAAGTTTGGAATGTCATTTCAAACACATCTGCAGTATAAATGTTTTTATTTCAAAGCACTTCAATCTGTGCTATTCAATTACAAAGAAAACATTGTAAACAAATTTATTATCACCCATTATACAGAAGATTAAAAACATATTTTTAGAAAGTTTCCACACAAAAGTAAAACTGCTATTTCTACAGGAAGAAGGAAAAAGTGATTTGAAATACAATGTTATAAATATACAGAGATTTCTGGTAAAGCACAAAGGATTACACTATAAAACAAAGCTACCAGGAACATTTAGGTGAGTTTCTAAAGAGATTCTTTCTTTTAATTAGCTTGTACATTTCTACACTGTAACTTGAGGTACACTTCTTTCCATTCTAAAAATGAAAAGGCCATAAACTCTTGGTAAGATTATTGAGAGAAATATGTGGTGGAGCAAGTTTAAAGCAAGTCTTTTAATTGCTTTGGTAAAATAACTACTCATCTTTAAGAACTTAATTTTTGCCTGGAATACTTACCCCATTGGGAGGTGAGGAAATCCATTCCAACTCTGTCTGTTGTGCTTTAGAGTCCAGCAATATTACTAAAAAAAAAAAAAAAAAAAAGAATTTCCACTGTTTATTAAATATAATAACTGAATATAAAACCAAAGAACAAAGTCTGAATAGAAAAAAGTGAGAAAAAGAACACAAATTGTGCAAATTAACCTTTTTTCTTCATATTAAAAAATAATTATCTGCAACCACAACTATACATTTACTTGTAAATAGATTATTAGATGATTATGTACCACCCACATATAAGCAGACACACATTAATCTTAACAATTTCATTGCTTAAATCAAAGTGTATTTTTTTTCTTAGTGCTCTAAAGTGTTACTAATCAGTCATTAAGATGCATGCTCCCTTCATCTCCTTTGTCATAAGGAGGGCATTTCCCATATGCCGATTATTACAATGAGTTTAAAACAAACAAATACGCATCAACATTTCAATACTTTTCCAAACTGATTTAGACAGGACTAGTCTATACCTTACCAGGAGCTGCACTGCGAGTTAGAAAGAAAAAAATATGTTCCTTAGGTGAAAAAGCCATAACTTTATAAACAAATGACAACCAGGAATACAGAAATTAAAAGACTGCAATTACCTCACACTTTGCAAACACAAAATACGACACACAAAATCAGGCTAATTCACTTTATGGTAATGTCTTACTCAAACCTTCATGTCATTATACCCCAGTGACACTTCTAAAGAAAAAGACATCCATTCTAGTAACACTGCAATTATTTTCAGCTAAAAGTACTCATCTCTGAAAAAGATTAATCACTGCTAAATAAATAAACTCTTAAATATTTTACATTATATATTGGAGGTTATATTACCAATGTCCTTTTACCTCCAAACATACATTTTCATATATTTCTTATATTTCAATTATAGTTACAAGCTTCTTTCCTAGCATATTACTATAAGTTTCTGTATGACTTTGCAATGATACATTTGTTAATCTGTAATGTAAAAAAAAATTGCTGTAATAATTCTTTCAAACAGTCAAAGCTGTAGAGTGATCAACCATATATTTAAGTTTGTTATACCTTGAGGATTCCTTCTTCAAAGCTGCACATTTAACTTCATACTGCTATTTCATTAAATAAAAATTAACATTTCTAATTTAAATCTGTTCAGTATGTTTTTAGCTATAAAGCTATGTATAACTTTATGCACAGCATTTAAGTATGATACTTCAATACACGATTTAAATAACTTGAAACAATTTTTATCATGTCTTGTGAAATGGTTAGAATTCTGGCTTCAGCCCTTTCTCCTAGTAGAATTTCACACAAAATTTCAGTGAGTTACTAGAAAGATGAGATGACTAAAAGAGTTATTTAAAGGTTCATACAGTAATACCTGGAATGTTAGCTGAACACAAAACAGTAGCTTCCAGGCCTATATTTCAGTAATAAAGTGGAACTACTCATTAAGGAAGTTTGATAGCCTCTCTCTAGAAAGATTATCTGCTTATTTCATTAAGCTTGGATTCAAGGAGCTTTACTTTGTAACACTTTCTACAGAAAAGAAGGTGGTGTACATGATGGTTTGTTGTTTATAATGGTTCTGGGGGAAAAAGAGGTACCACGAAAAAGAAAAGAAACACACCACCTTTTGAGGACCAGCACAATGTCCCACGGCTGCAATCCTTTATACTTTTTATTTGGCAGCAATTCTCCATCACGTAGCAACGGGCGGGCACATCCCAGAAAGCAAAAACAACAAGCAAACAAACAAACAAACTAACCCCTGCTCTACAAACACCCCTAGCAAAGAAAACGTGGCGTTTCCCTCTGGCACGGAAAGTTGCTGGGGAAGAGCTTCCCAGGCCAGTGGCCGCTGCGCTGCACTCAGCCCCAGGAAGCCGGGGGGGGAAAGGGGGGCGGTGCCGCGTTCCGCGCACCCCGCCGGGGATGCGCAACCTCCTGCGCGCGGTGAGCACCGAGACCCCCGGGGACACACCGGAGAAGAGGCCGCTCGAAGCCCCACTCAGAGGCGCGGCGGGACAGAGAGCGAAAGGAGGCGTAAAACCGGCGCGCGAAGAGCGGGGGCTCCGTACTCCCACCCCAGGCACTGCGCGAGGCTGCGCGCAGGCGACCGCGCCGCCGCGCTAAGAAGCGCCCTTT